AGCCTGCCCCGCCAGGGTAGAATCCCTGGCAGCTACGTCCTCCATTGCTCGGGCGAGGGCCCCCTCCGCCTCTTCCTTCTGCTCTCGGATCCGCTGGAGGTCCATCCTAGACCCATGGTACCGCGCAGCTATTATGGAGATCTGCTGGGTAGCCTGCAAAGGAGGGAAAAAGGGGTATCACAAAAATGGAAAGCAAGAGAGAAGAAACCAAAGCAGTAATGAACTTACCACCAGGAAATTCTGGATGATAGAGCGGAACAGCACGTTCGTTGATCGCCCCCTGTGAGCCGCCATGTCAGCCTCGAAATGCAGTGTCTCACTCACTGCATTGGCGACATGAGGGTCCAGCAAAATGGAGTCATCAACCCTGATCACTCGGTTCATGTGATCGGTGGCTCGGGGGTTCCACTCCGCGGCTTCCACTGTCGGCGGAGGGGAAGGGAGAGTCTGCTGCTACTGTTGTTGCTGCTGCCGTTGTTGTTGTTGTTGTCGTTGCTGTTGCTGCTGTTGCGGAGGAGCAGGGGGTAACCCACGGCCTCTCCCGCTTTGCTGTTGAGCGGGAGATGCCCTAGATCCTCTGCCAAGGCCATCGTGCCTATGCTTGACCCTTCTCTCTTCCTCTACCTGAGGATTCCGGTCACGCACTTGGCCTGGACTGAGAACTCTTGAGGATGGGGTGGAACTGGTCCCTGCAGATGGGGCGCCGCCGGNACAGCCTGAGGATTCTCGGGAGCGGGGCGACGACGAGGCATCTCTAAAAAAGTGAGAAAGTGGAGGGTGTTTGTCCTTAAAAATCCCTGAGGAAGCTTCCCGAGGATTAGGTATCAACCGGAGACACCTCCAGTCATCGGAAAATAAAAAGGGNTAGCCCAGCCGAGCCCGTTGTCACCAGTAAATCTCCAAACTGTGACTAGGTCGGCAAAGTTCACCAGCGACCGAGGGGGAGGAGCTGTTTCCCGAGCAGAGATATCTGCACAAACAATAAAGTAATCATGAGCATCAGAAGTCTGGAGAACAAAATAATAAACCCGAAGGAACCGACGTACTTGTCGTTCTCCATTCCAGAGGGCATAACAAGCCGTTATACTCGGGACCAACACCTCTCTGCCAAGATCCCTTGAAAATAAGAATATCGTCCTTGTACCCCTTGTCCGAGTCGGGAAGATGAGTTACAAGGTACATGGAGGGGTCCCTGGCTTTGAGATAGAAGTGTTGGTGAGGCCTGACTCTCAAGAGGGCATAACAAAAAAGGAGATCGTTCAGCCCGATATTTACCCCGAGGCGCCTATTGAGCTCTAAGACCCCCATAATGATTCTGAAGACATTAAGGCAACACTGCCCGGGGAAGAGGCGGAAGTGAGAGAGGAACTGAAGAAGTAAAGGGGGTAAAGGAAACCTAATTCCTCCCTCTATTATGGTCTTGGTATAAAATGGCATAGCATCCTCGGCCCCGAGGGTAGGAAGGTGCACCACCGAGCCATAATCCTCTACGTCTACGCACGGGGGAATGCCGTACTTGACCTTAAACCTATTAATCTGCTCACCACCCTTTACTTTATACTTTCCCGACCCCGAAGAAACAGCCTGAGGATTCTCGGGAGCGGGGCGACGACGAGGCATCTCTAAAAAAGTGAGAAAGTGGAGGGTGTTTGTCCTTAAAAATCCCTGAGGAAGCTTCCCGAGGATTAGGTATCAACCGGAGACACCTCCAGTCATCGGAAAATAAAAAGGGATAGGAGGAAGAAAAGAGGAAAGATACTAGAACTCACCCGAATGTCAAACAGAGTTTTTTCTGGAAAGCTTTAAAGCGACTCCTTCCAGAAGGTTCAGAAGCAACGATGGGTCTGCTGGCCTTAAGACTTTAAGGAAGAACTGGCAGTTGACGATGGAAGAAGAAAGAGATCTCCGGTGAAGATTCAAGAAAAAGCTCTCTTGAGGAAGTTCGGAATGGCGAAACAAGAAAACGGNTAAAGTAATCATGAGCATCAGAAGTCTGGAGAACAAAATAATAAACCCGAAGGAACCGACGTACTTGTCGTTCTCCATTCCAGAGGGCATAACAAGCCGTTATACTCGGGACCAACACCTCTCTGCCAAGATCCCTTGAAAATAAGAATATCGTCCTTGTACCCCTTGTCCGAGTCGGGAAGATGAGTTACAAGGTACATGGAGGGGTCCCTGGCTTTGAGATAGAAGTGTTGGTGAGGCCTGACTCTCAAGAGGGCATAACAAAAAAGGAGATCGTTCAGCCCGATATTTACCCCGAGGCGCCTATTGAGCTCTAAGACCCCCATAATGATTCTGAAGACATTAAGGCAACACTGCCCGGGGAAGAGGCGGAAGTGAGAGAGGAACTGAAGAAGTAAAGGGGGTAAAGGAAACCTAATTCCTCCCTCTATTATGGTCTTGGTATAAAATGGCATAGCATCCTCGGCCCCGAGGGTAGGAAGGTGCACCACCGAGCCATAATCCTCTACGTCTACGCACGGGGGAATGCCGTACTTGACCTTAAACCTATTAATCTGCTCACCACCCTTTACTTTATACTTTCCCGACCCCGAAGAAACAGCCTGAGGATTCTCGGGAGCGGGGCGACGACGAGGCATCTCTAAAAAAGTGAGAAAGTGGAGGGTGTTTGTCCTTAAAAATCCCTGAGGAAGCTTCCCGAGGATTAGGTATCAACCGGAGACACCTCCAGTCATCGGAAAATAAAAAGGGATAGGAGGAAGAAAAGAGGAAAGATACTAGAACTCACCCGAATGTCAAACAGAGTTTTTTCTGGAAAGCTTTAAAGCGACTCCTTCCAGAAGGTTCAGAAGCAACGATGGGTCTGCTGGCCTTAAGACTTTAAGGAAGAACTGGCAGTTGACGATGGAAGAAGAAAGAGATCTCCGGTGAAGATTCAAGAAAAAGCTCTCTTGAGGAAGTTCGGAATGGCGAAACAAGAAAACGGAAGAGGAACCCCATTTATATAGAGGCAATTTCATCATTGGGCGCGAAAAACGAACGGCGCATTTAATGCACACAACATCCCAAGCCGGGGAAAGCGACTCGAGGCAATGATGAAGCATTTGTGGTTGTTGGGAAACCCTTCGTCTCCTTACGACGCGTGCCCTCGGTGTCAGAAGATCGAAGGCTGGGGGGCAGTTGATGGGACTTTTCTGAAATGCTCCATGATGAAGACACGTGTCCTCGGTATTACCAAAACACTGTTGCTAAGATCAAGCACCATCGGCGCATAAAGGTCCTCGCCCCCGAGGTACTCGTCATATAGGATCATACATTCAGTATGTTTTACAACCGACACGTGGCCTCGGTCTGATATGGTACCTCGGTCGGCATACCTCCCTCGGTTCCGAGATGAGCCTTTCCTCGGTGCCGAGAGGTACCCCGTCCTGGACGCTTCCTCTACTCCAGGATAAGCTATTGACGTACAGGTCATTAGCCTAGGCTAGTCTAGGCTATTCATCATGACCTCGTCTTACACAATTAGTGTCAGAACGTACTGGAATGCAGGGGCCACAGCCAATGGAGGATGGACGCGTGGCATATGATATCACATCAAAGACAGAGAAACCGCATGTCGTTGCTGACACGCGACTTGGAAAAACAAACTATTAATTACACCATTCCCTTGATGAGACCGCATTCAATGCGGTAAGGCTCGGAAATGAAAGGCAATAAATGCTCCTAATACAGAGCATTTATTGCATCCTCCCCGAGAGGAGTACATTGTACCGTCGGCATCCCGATGACCCAGCATTGATTGCTCGGGACCCCGAGCAGTTAAGAAGAGAAGACATTCCTCATCAGAATCAGTGCGCACACTGCCTGTACCTAATGATCACCTACTGACTACACTGACAGCAATCATGAGCTTTTGAGGTATAAATACTCCTTGCAAAAGGCAAGACGGGTATGCAACAAAAAACTCTTTACTACAATACACACTCAGTGTTTTCTCCTTCCTCTCTCTTTCTCAAAGACTGACTAGATCGTCGGAGGGGATACGCCGGAAAACACTCTGGCGCCCTTCTAACTTGTTCTTCTTTGTTCCAGGAACCTCTTTCAGCCTTACTGGATCGTTCTTCCGTTCCCCCAGGGTCTCCCGTTGCCGTTCCAGGTTACCACCGGACCTCACAGGCTGTTCCAAGCAGCGTGGTTAGTCACTCAACCGGCTCACTTGAATTCACCAAAAGAAATATATGTTATCGTTTTTTATATTGTGCAGGATCTTGCACGCACAATACTCTTATTGTTCCAGCAAAAGAGGAATGATACCTTGGTACCTTTTTATAACCCATCAAACTTGGCCAGCTTGTGATGCAAAAATCAGTCTGTTTGTGTGGTTCCCTTTGTCACACGCCCCTCTAACAGATTTTCTTACCCAACCCTATGTACAAAATATACTATCCACATATATTATTTAATTCCATGATAAAAAAACAAAAAAAAAATGTCCCTTTCAACTTTAGATTGAAATATTTAGTAATTCACTTCTTCAAGATTTAATTTTAATAAATAACTCATTTTAAGTTTGAATAATTTGTAATTAACTCCAATAGTTATGTTTTGACAATAAAAATTGAAAAAAAATTAAGCAGGTCAAATTCACGTGATTTTTAATTTGTTGAAAAGGGATAATTACTCTTGCATCCTGTCACCCTCTCCTATGTAAAATGGTTAGCTTTTGATATGATTAGAATTGATTAATAATTGTCCCGTAGAATATCTCGTAGATAGCCATAATCTACCACAATGGCCAATCAACACCACCACAACCATGGCCAAAACGGCCAAAAAGACACCCAAGTAGTAGTAGTAATGGTGCCACCACCAGCTCAAGGCCATCTCAACCAGCTCCTCCACCTCTCCCGCCTCATCACCGCCTACAACCTACCAGTCCACTACGTGACCCCCACCACACACAACCGCCAAGTCAAGCTTCGCGCCCAAGGTTGGGACCCTCTCGCCATCACCAACCTCCACTTCCATGAATTCCCAATCAGTTCCTTTGTCTCTCCTCCGCCAGACCCTAATGCCTCCTCCCCCCACCCCGCTCAAATGTTACCATTATTTCGAGCCTCATTAAGCCTTCGAGAGCCAGTCGGCTCTCTTCTCCGATCACTCTCCTCCACAACTGAAAGAGTCATCGTTATTCATGACTCTTTAATGGTTCCGTGGTCCAGGACGTCCCTTCAATATCGAACGCAGAGTCTTACTGCTTTCAAAGTACGACAGCTTTTTCTACCTCCTTATTCTCCTGGGAAGCCACAAGAAAACCTATCCCGATTGAACCCGAAATACTGAAAGAGTCTCCAAGCTTCGAGAGCTGTTTTGAACGAGAGCTCTTGGAGTTTGCCGCAGCCCAAGATAATTACAGAGAATTCAACTCTGGAAGTGTTTATAACTCATGCAGAGTCATAGAAAATCATTACCTTGATATACTTGCAAGGCAAGAGCTTATATGATCTGTTAAGCAATGGGTTATTGGGCCATTCAATCGTGTGGAGATACCCAAAAAAGAAAATTCAAACGGACCACAACACCCATGCTTGGATTGGCTTGACAAACAGCCTCCAAAATCCGTGATATTGGTGTCATTTGGAACCATCACTTCATTAACTGACGAACAAATCAAAGAGCTCGCGATTGGGTTAGAAAAAAGCGAGCAAAACTTCATCTGGGTGTTGAGAAATGCAGATAAAGGAGGCATTTTTGCACGAGGTAAAAAGAGCTGAACTGCCAGAAGGGTATGAAGAGAGAGTCAAAGGAAGAGGAATGGTGCTGACAGATTGGGCACCCCAGTTAGAGATTTTGGGACATCCTTCCACAGGTGATGCTTAAAATAAAATACGAGTTCAATTTTCACATTGATTTTGGTTTCACTTTTCTTATATTTGATTTAATAAGGTAGTGGGTCTTAATTAGGGTAATTTGGACGGGTTGGATAATCAATTCTAATCCAATTTTAGGTATATAATTTTTAATCTTACCTCAGGTTGAAGAACTCAATCCGAACACTGTCCAAGTTTAATTCGAGCAGGCTCGGGTTGAATTCGAGTTAATAATTTCATGTTGATTTCGGGTTACTTTACAGTTTCCATTCGGGTTGAGTTCGGATAAAGTCTAAAATAGATTTGTTGTTCTAAACCTAATACATATAAGTGATATTTGGATCACAGGATTGGATTGAATCGAATTTGAATCTGAACTCAATCCAATCCAATGCAAAGTAATCCGAATTGAAGGATTATAAAAAGATAGGCTTCATTTGGTTTGTTGCCGTCCGAATCCAATCCTCACGGTGGAACTCGATGAACTCTTTCAGGTCAATGAAGCCGTCTCTATCGGTGTCAATCTCGATCATTGTGCGATGGAGCTCGTCCGGCAACGTCTTGGAGCCTAGCGCATCGAGTATTGCGCCGAAAGTAGACAAAAATTCTGAAAAAATTACTGTGGAGGATCTTTTAGTAATTTTTCAATTAATCCTAGAGACTAATTTCTGAATCCCACACTTTTCATGGGTTTCAACTATCTAGCTGGGAGGGGATTACGGGCTTCAAAAGCTACCGACGAATAATTGATTCACAACGAATATCTCATCCCCTTTGACATACCCAAAGCATGGATATATGGGCCTTCACAAATTTTGCCCAATCCCTCCAAATCCGGTCATCCAAACACCGCCATATTATATAATATTTATTTAAAATAACAACTAATAACTTTAACCAAATTTTTAACAGTGCTAATATTAAAACAAAAATAAAAATAAAAAAGAGAGACAGAGAACGATAGAACAATATATACATATATATATATATATATATATATATATATATATATATATATATATAATTTTTTTTTTAATTTGTCGGGATCAAGTTGAACTCGTGAACCCGAGGCCTTAACCCGAACCCAACCCAAATTGAATTCAAATTTAAATTTTTTAACTCAAGTCTAACCCAAATATTAAAAAGGAAAATTTAAAAGCCGATCCCCCTATATAGACTTATTTGGACTTAAATCCATAAAAAAAAATTGTTTGTTATAAAATCCATTTTTTGTCAATTTTAGCATATTATCCCTTCCCTTTAAAAGTGAAATAAAATTAAAACTTAAAAATTTCTAAATCTTAAAAATTTGACTAACATTAAAATATTTTCTCTCTCATATCTATCTATATCCATATATAGATTAATATATATATATATATAGTAACATTAAAAATAAAAAATAATAACATTTAAATACAAAAAAAAATTATCATTTGGACACAAAAAAATAAGTAACATTTAAACATAAAAAAAATTGAAACATTCAATATTAATATTTTTAAAAAATAACAACAGTAATATGTTCAACAAAAATATTAATATGTTCAACAAAAATAGTAATATGTTTAATAAAAACTGTAACATACTTAACAATAATTATTTCTCTCAAATTCAAAAGTAAAAATTAGTACCATTCAAATACAAAAAATAGTAACATTACAAAAAAAAATAGTAACATTGAATATTAATATTTAGGAAAATAATAGTAGTAACATGCTCAACAAAAACAGTAACATGCTCAAAATAATAGTAACATGAACAGTAACATACTCAACAAAAACAGTAACATAATAAAAAAAAAATAGTAAAATGAATTTGAATTTTACTATTCAAATTCATAGTATTTTTATTTTTTGTATTTTTACTATTTTTTATTTTTAATGTTGCTCTATATATAGATAAGAAAGAAGAAAAATTTTAATATTAGTCAAACTCTTAATCTATAAATGGATATATATAAATATGAGAGAGAGAAAAGATTAACTTCCTTTCAAGGAATGGTATTTTTGAGATAAAAAAAAAAATAAACTTAAGTCATTACATATAATTTTAAACATAGACTTAACCTCTTATAAGTTTTCTTGCAAGACTTACCTCCAAACAAGTACATCGAATGATACTTACTTCCAATTTTCAATATTAAAGACCCTTACCCAAGTTCTAATTTTTTCGAGTTGAAATTGAGTTGCCCAACCCAAGTTACACCCCTAGTCTCAATTGGAAATAGTCTTTACCCGACTAAGAGCATCTCCGAGAGGTTCAATAAACCGGACCTGTTAGCTATTTTACATAGCCAGACCACAGAAGCTGACTCCAACGGACTAGCTATTAGCGTATGTATTTTGGATAGCCTTCATTTGGCTGGCTAGATCTGACTAGGCAAAGCTGCTCGGCAGTGGGTTTTTTCATGTGGGTTTTTGTTTCTGTATTGCAATTCATAAGCCTTGTCTCTGTTTTCCTTGTTATAGGAAATGCCACTGCTCTGTTTTTTTTCTTTAGTTGTATAACTATAAATACAAAGCAATACACAAGGTTTTGGTAATTAAACCAAACCATTCAAGGACTTGTAATTAAGCTAAACTATAAAAAAGTTTATTTATTTTCTCTTAGATCTATTTTTGTTGGGTATGGTTCATGGACTTGAAGAGTTTTGATAGTATTTTAGATTTTATTATTAAAAGTTAGTTAAAATTAGTTGAAGTGGTTAGGTAAAATAGATAGCGTTGTTGGAGTGAATTTGAAATAGTAATTAGTTAAAGTAGATAATATAATATTTAACTATTTTAGATAACATTGTTGGAGATGCTCTACGGGCGGCATACATCCCATACTCTCTTAACTCTACAGTAACTATAACAGAAGCCCTATGTCATCTTTTCTTTATATTTGATTTAATAGTTCACTTTCAATTGTATTTATATTGTGGAGATTTTGTCATCTTTCTACAGGTGGGTTTTTGAGTCACTGTGGATGGAATTCATGCTTGGAGAGCATAAGCATGGGGGTGCCAATGGCGACTTGGCCAATGCATTCAGATCAACCGAGCAACGCTTTGCTGATAACGAAGGTGCTGAAATTGGGTCTGATGGTGATGGATTGGGCTCGGAGACATGAGATTGTGAGCTCATTAATGGTGGAAAATGCTGTTAAAAGATTGATGGTATCGGCCGAAGGGGAAGAGATGAGGAAGAGGGCGGCTGAATTGGGTGGTGCTGTTCGGAAGTCGGTGGAGGAGGGCGGCGTTTCTCGCATGGAGATGGATTCTTTCATTGCCCACATCACTAGATAGTATTGTTAGTCTCAAAACCTGAGTTTTGTATAATAACATGCAAGCTCAGATAGATCTCTGCATCTGATTTTTTTTTTTTTTGATCAATCACTCTGCATCTGATTAATCCAACCCATATAATATATGGATTATGCAATTCAACTTTTCAGTTTGTCGAAGGGTTAAGCCTCTCTATCTGTGCCAGTGTGTCTGTATGTATGTCTGTGTGTGAGAGAGAGAGAGTCAGTAGACTCAGACTGTTTCCTGTGTGTTATGAGCTCTATGAGCAATTATATTGTAATCCTAATTGATATATCTAGTGATTCTCAATTTCTGCTTAAAAGTAATAATGTTCAGAATTTATGACAATTGTACTTAGTCGAGTTGGTAACCCTTGATTTTTTAATTTAGATTTCAATGAATTAATTATTACCAAAGGCAAGTCTCGATTAGTTATGTCCCCATGGTCTCCATCTGGGAATTTTATTGTGCCCCTCTTTGAAGGATTTGACTATGGTACCGATTTTTTTTGTGGGTAATTTATCATTTATATGGATATTTTTACAACAAAAAATTATTACTTTTATAGATAATTTATCACTTTTGTGGTTATTTTTACCATTTTTTAAAATTTTTTTATAACTAATTATTTTTACCACTTTTCTTCAGTACAAAAGAAATGACTATTTTTGTGAATATTTTTATCACTGTTGTGGTAACAATTTTTACAATTTTTCTTCGGTACCACATAACAGTGGTAAAAACACCCACAAATGTAGTAAATGTCGGTACAATACCACAAACAACCCCTGGTATAAAAAAAATTACTTTTTAGTAGCATGCCTCCACATTTTATTCAACAAAAACATAACACAACGTAAAATTATCTATTTTCTTATTTATATAATAAAGTACAATACAATTCAAATCTCAAAAAGACAAACAAAATGACTTTTGTTATTCGCGGTTGAAATCTTTTAAATTTTATTTTAAAATTAATCTGACGACTAATATTAAAATTCCAAATTTAATAAAAAAAAAATAGATCCCTAAGGGTGTGTTTAGAACGATTTTTTAAAAGTGTTTCTAAAAATTATTTTTCATTAATACTTTAAAAAAAATAGTGTTTAACACCACTTCATTACTACATTTACCACCCTCACCCCCAAAGCTCAACCACCATCACCACCACCTCTATTGCTCAACCACCACCACCTCTGCAACCACCATCACAACTATCATCGCCCAACCACCATCTCTGCCCCCACCACCACCTCCTCCACTGCCCCTCACCACCATTACCACTACCACCACCTCCACCGCCCCAACACCATCATCACTACCACCTCCGCCCCACCATTACCACCTCCTCCACCGTCCCCGCCACCATAACCACCGCCCTATCACCATCACTACTACTGCCCCATCACAACCTCCACCACCCCACCACCACCATCCCTACTACCATCATTGCTATCGCACTCTACCATCATGGTCACCGCTGTCACACCTTACCACATCGTCACTATCCCACCATCACCCCTACTAACCCCATCACCACCACCACGACCATCGCCACCCCACGCTCACTGCCCCACCGTTACCACCATCGCCACCCACCACCACCATCGTCATCACCCACCACCACCGTCATCGTTCCACCACCACTACCAACTACTATCACCGTTGTCCACCAACACCACCACCGCCGTCACCCATGACTGCCACTACCACGGTTGTCGCCATCCACCACAACCATCTCCATCTCTCACCATCACCACTACCGCCCACCACCAGTAACCCTACTCACTCCCATTACAATTGATACTTAAATTTATTTATCTCTCATTTATGTTTGTAATTTTATTTTGGGTATTAATACAAATATATTTATTATTGATTTTTTTTTATTACTTCGTGTCTTAAGGGGGAATAACTATTTATTTTATATTTTACAATCAATAGCTACAAATTATTCAAACCAAAATAAATAGTTATACTTCCCTATAGGGAAAAAAATCAGTAGCCACAAATATTTTTGAGTTAGCACCCTAACAGTATTGTAGCATTACCCTTATTGCAATCGATAATGCCGTCAGAAGATTTTGAGGGCGAATAGTCACCGGTTCTCACCCCCAGGCTGGGCCAAAGATGTGAGTGAAGCTCAAATCAATGATGCGGTCAGAAGATTCTGAGAGTGACCAGTCGCCGGTTCTCACTCCCAGTCTAGGCCAAAGATGTGAGCGAAGCTCAGACAGATGAGATACTATTGGCCTACAATGGTCCAGGATTGTATGGACT